CTAGAAGCTTTTAAGATCTTATTTTTAACCCTGTTTTTCTGAAATTTCACCAAGATTCGCCTTGGTTGTGGGTCTTTTATCATTTATCCATGTTGGGCAGTGAGCCTTTCCAATCTGAAAACTAGTGACTTACAGTTCTGGGAAATTTTCTTGTATTATTCACTAATAATTTCCTCCCCTTTATTTTCTCTCTTCTCTCTTTCTGGGACTCTAATTGGTCAAATATTGGACATCCCTGATTTTCCCTCTGATTTAAAAAATCTTTTGTTTTCTATTTTTCATAACTTCATCTTCTCATTTTACTATATATTTCCTTAATTTTTTATCCTTCTACCAGTCCTGGTTATTTCAGCATTCATGTTTTTTGTTTACAAGAGTTCATTCTTGACCTTTGTTTCTTTTTTAGTTTCTGTTTTTGCTTTGTGGATACAAACTATTTGTTTTTCTTCCTGAGAGTATTATCACTTTAAAAGTTTTCTTCTAAACCCTGCATTGTCTTGGTTTCCTCCAAGTTCCTTTTCTCTGTTAGTTTGTTTCAGTTGCTGTCTTTTCCTAAATATCTGGTAAGCTTTTCACTGTTTATTTAAATATAAGCACTAAAAGATGACTGGGAGCTCTGAGTGGGTGGGGGAATTTGGTGAACTTGGTTTAGTGACCTTTGCTATAGGATTCTAAGGCAGAATGCCAGCTTTTTATCGAAGGACCCCAAGTTGTCATTTCTGTAGGTGTTTTCTCTTGGGTCATTTTCCTTTGGAAGGAGTCCTCTAACCTCCTGCTTTTTGTCACGGGGGTGGTGGAGGGTATAAGCCTGTCTGCCAGCATTCTGGAAGCCAAGCAGGGAAAGGGAGCTGAGAGTTTGAAGACTGCTTTTAGTATAATGTCAAAGCTCAGCAGAAAGTAAACCTTACATCTCCTGCCAGGATGAGGGAAGGGCAGCCTCTGGTTTAGTGGGTCCAGGGATCTAGCTGTTCCTCATACAAACTTTCAACTTTCTGTGGCACTAAATCAGCGTGATGTTGTTGGCTTCCTGATCCAGCTTTCTTTGGTCTGTTGTTGGTTACCACACATCCATCCCTTTCTAGCTTCCAAACATTTGTTTACAATCTCTTATTTGTTGGCATCTCTTTTCCATTCTCTTTGTCTTTGTGGGTTTATGACATTTCATTCTTGGACTGTCATTTCAGTGGAATTTCATGAAAGAAAAGATAAAACATGTATTTAAACCATTGTATTTAATCATCCCCACTCTTCAACGCTCCTCTGAAATGTTTTCTCCCACTACCACACCGTTGCTAATGTTCTTTTCAAGGTCACCAAATAAATATCTTGTTGCCAAATATAACAGACTCTCCTTTGTTTCATGTTACTGTTTCATCTTATTCAATCTCTCAGTAGCATTTGTCCCTGCTGACCAGTTTTACTTGAAATTTCTCTGCCCTTAGCTTTCATGACCACTCCTGGTTTTCTTCCTATCCAGTTTTGTTTTTGTTTTTTGCCTTTGTGAACAACTCTTCCTTAACCTATTCCTTTAATGCTATTCTTTGTGATTCTGTCTTAGGCTATTCTCTTCTCTCACTACACATTCTCCTTGTTGCAAACTCATTAGTTCCTAGGGCTTCACCTACCTGATGATTCCTTGCTCTCTATCTGAATCTTTTTGCAGGCTCAGGTATAGCCTGAGGTGTAGATGGAATAGATGGCTATCTATGTGGTATGACTTGAGAGTCATCTATCCATCCAACTTAATTGTCTTTCTCACTGGTCTCTCACAGGGTCTGAAATTTCTCCCCATTGTTATTCATTATATTGTGTTAAGGCACTATGACTTCAGTTAAAATGAGATTTTAGCTGGGAGGGGTATCCTCTCCCCTTTACAAATAACACTTATTATATTATCCCTAATAGAGATCAAGGCCTTAATAGACTACAACAAAATAGCTAATATTGTGGTTTGCCTAAATACAGAAACACACACACACACACACACACACACACACACACACACACACACACACACACGGCACGATGTCGGTTTTTTTTTTTTTTTTTTTTTTTTTTTTGAGACAGAGTCTCGCTTTGTTGCCCAGGCTAGAGTGAGTGCTGTGGCGTCAGCCTAGCTCACAGCAACCTCAAACTCCTGGGCTCAAGCAATCCTCCTGCCTCAGCCTCCCGGGTATATATATATATATATATATTAGTTGGCCAATTAATTTCTTTCTATTTTTATAGTAGAGACAGGGTCTCGCTCAGGCTGGTTTTGAACTCCTGACCTGAGCAATCCGCCCGCCTTGGCCTCCCAGAGTGCTAGGATTACAAGCGTGAGCCACCGCTCCCGGCCTACGATGTCATTTTTAATTCATTTTTAATCTTTCAGCCACTGTTAACATTTGAGAATATACTATCCCAATATTTATATTTATATATTTCACAAACATAAGGCCATTCTCTATATACTATATTACATCGTGCATTTTAAACTTAATATATTACTATATTTCTTTTCTTTTCTTTCTTTTCTTTTAAATATTACAATATTTCTTTTCTCCATGTTATTAGATTCTAATGTAAAACCCGATTTCCAGTGGCTTTATGATAGTTCATCTTTTGATGTATAATACATTACTTAGCTAGGTCTCCTTTGCTAGACAATTAGGTTACATGTGGTGTGCTGAGTGCCCTTGGAGTGATATATTTGCATATGTCTCAGTTATTTCCCTAATAAAAATATTATGAAGTAGAACTGTGGTGTCAAAGAATATTTACATTTCAAACTATTTTGATATTTAGTGCTAAATTGGCCTGTAAAATGCATATTAATTTCAATCCTAATACAAAAATGTAGGCATTATTGAATATAAGTATAAAAAGCTCTGATATTGTCATTTGTAATCTAAATGCTATTCCATTTCAACTTACATTTCTTCGATTTGTCATGTAGTTGGACTTTTAAATTTAATTCAATTTCTTTTTAATTTTAATTTAGTTTGTGGATTAACTTTCTGTTTTATTTGTCTATACTCCTGTCACCACTTTACTTTCTCCTCTTTCCTAGACACCTTAAAATCTGGTCTGCCTGCCTCAAATTTTTGCCCTTTCCAGCTCATCCACTGAAACCATAGTACTCTTGTTGAAACATGAATTTGAGTATATCACTCATCTGCCTAAAACGCGTAGTGGCTCCCACTGTACCTGTACTTAGGCTAGAATTCAAAGTTTGTAATGTGGTCTACAAGGTCCTGCATGACTTTGCCCCATTCTCCAACCTTCAGGCAAGAGAGAACACAAACCCATCTACATAGTCTTTGCTTAGCTAACTCCTGCTCATCATGCAGGTAACTCCTTAAAATTAACTTCCTCTAGGGAGATTTCCCTAGTTCCGGAGTCTCTGCAGATGACTTCTGTGTATGCTTTACTCCCTTTGTAGTAGCACTTCTATTGCCTATCTAATGTCTTTCTCCTTCACAATGTGTGAGTTCTTGAGGGCAAGGGCCACAACAAGGTTTTTCTCATGTGTATCTTCAATGCTCAGCACAGTGCCTGACACATTAGTTGTGCTTAATAAGTATTGGATAGATGGATGGAAGAAAGAAAGAAGATTGGAGAGGTTGGGAAGAAATGTCATGAGCTAATTTTATGGGTTAACTCTTCCCTAAAGAGGTCGTTGTCTCCTTACTCACCAAATACTAGAAGACTGGCTATTCAATGAGAGACTAGATTGTACTGAGTTAAATCTTTCGTTTTGCCTGTAGTTTATGCCTGAAATATTTCTGTTTTCAGAAACAGCCAACAGATATTGTTGGTTGATGTGTAGAAGGGTATACATGCATGTACTTGTTCAACTCCTCATCCCCTATAACTAGTTTACCATAACAGTTTCCTCTCTGGTCTTCTTGCATTCAATGCCTTTTCCACTCTAACCTACTTATTGTTGCCATATTTATGTTTCTTTCCACCGTGTCATTTGCATGCTCAAGGATCTTCATTGGCTCTGAGTCAGAAGATCTTGTCCAGGACTTAAACATGTATAGTTTGGTAAAAGTTCCCCCAGATAATTCTGATGTGTAACCATGATTAAGAATTGTTGAAGTATATAAAATATGCCTCTTTTTTTACAAGAACAATCTAAATGGTTAATAGTATTGAGTTTAGACTCAGATGGACATGAGTTCAATTATATTTCTGACCCTTATTGGTTGTGTGATCTTGGGTAAGTTACTTATCTTCTCAATGTGTCAACTTTCTCATTTGCAAAATGGAAATGATATCTGCTATACAGAGTTATGGTAAGGAATAAATTAGATAATGTATGCAAAGAGCATGCACAGTGCCTTATATATACTAAGCACTTAAATGTTAGCAGTTGTGTTGTTGTTAGTCAGTCAGTTATTCATTCAACAATTATGTTTTCATTATGTGTCCAACACTGTGTTAGGGACCATGGAATATATAAGAGATACAAAATATGAACCCTGCTCTTGAGACTCTTAGAATTAGTTGGGGAGACAAAACTATCAGCATTGTACAATTAGAGGATAATAAAATGAAATATTAATATTATAAAAGATCAAATAAAGGATTATTTCGGGGAAAGTGTTAACCTACCATGCTGGCTTGTTTATTAGCATAAAAAATAGAGGGAGAAAAAAGAATCTTTCAAACTATTCTTAAAAAGCCTTCAGAGGTCTAGTTTTGATGCTGCCTGCCAGATGGAAAATGATGCAGAGGGGAAAAAATCCTGTATTTACTTCTCAAAATTAAGACAGGATGGAGGAGTGTGTTTGAGGGGCGAACATATGTGAATAAATGTGGTATAACTCTTAATTGGCTCCTGATGATTAAAATTTAAATGGTTTCCATTGGAAAAGCACAGACGCAATATTTTCACTAAATGAATCAAACCTTACAAGTCATTTATTCACCTTGTTAAACCAGAAATCAAACACTGGATGAAGGTTGCAAACCTATGTTGATGTATATTGATGTACTTTTCTCTCTTTCAGGGTTGCTATGGCAACTGCATCTTCTCAAGTTCTGATTCCAGACATCAATTTTAATGATGCCTTTGAAAACTTTGCTTTAGATTTTTCAAGAGAAAAGAAACTGCTGGAGGGGCTAGATTATTTAACAGGTGTGAAAAGACTGCTTTCTTTCTCATTTTCATTTTTTTCTTTTGGTATGCTTTTACTTAAAAATAATCTGAAAAGGATAATATTTTCAATGAAAATGTTTTTATAATCTTTAAGGTGATGCATGTATCTTTTTAGATAGAATAGATTTTAATTCATATAATAGAAAAGAAAGATGGTTTGTTAAATATTTCTGGGATCAGAATGGGTATACAATCCATACTTAAGGGTAAAACACAAGAAATTGCTAGTGGATTACTCTTTATGAGTCTATCAGTAATATATTACTGCTTGTTAAGAGGGCAGAACTCAGGTGGGAATGTTAGAGACTGTTCCACATGGGAACTACCGAAATGGCTTTAAGAAAACTTAGGAATTATTAGATTAGGAAGAAAAGTGTGAGAAATATCTGGCTTGCAGACAATTTTAGAAAATGAGGTATGCAACCAGCCTGTTAAAAAATGTTGGCTACCTTCAGGATTATTGAATGACCACTTCATGAAAAAAATATCCACACACTAACTTTTATATTTTTTAAATTAGAATTATGGCTATGATGTTTATGTTTGTAGCTGTTTTTGTTAACATGTTCACATAGGTGTCATTTATTAAATATCTACTTTATGCCAGACATTGCATATTAATGTTGTATCATTAATCCTTACAATAAATCATCTCTATTTACAGATGAGGGAACTCATATTAATTTGCACTTGACTACACTGCCAAAAATATATAATAAAACTTATTTTGAAATAAAATATAATAGGTTGAGGGCCATGTATTAAGGAAACGATATGACCACTTTGCTCTGATATCTACCTAAGTGCTTATATAGGCAGACTAAACAACTGAGGTAACCATCACAATAATGTAGGCTTATATCATTGCCTAAAATATCTTTACCATAGCAAAAGTGGGGAGCTGGAGGTCTCAGCATTTTGCTTCAGGTTGTATGGTTCCTGTAACCATCACAATAATGTAGGTTTATATCATTGCCTAAAATATATTTACTATAGCAAAAGTGGGGAGCTGGAGGTCTCAGCATTTTGCTTCAGGTTGTATGGTTCATGTAGTCTAAAGCTTATCTATTAAAAAAGCCTCCTTTCTAAGAGATGTTGGTTTAGGCAGGAAGAGTAACAATTGTAAAATTCCATAAGAGAGATTTTGCTTTCCTTACCTTCTTTTCCACCTTTCCTTACAGCCCCAAACCCACCATCTATCCGAGAGGAACTCTGTACTGCCTCCCATGACACCATTACAGTCCACTGGATCTCTGATGATGAGTTCAGCATCAGCTCCTATGAGCTTCAGTACACCATATTCACTGGCCAGGCTAACTTCATCAGTAAGTCATGGTGTAGTTGGGGCCTGTGGCCAGAGATAAGGAAATGTAAGGAAGCAGTAAGCTGCTCAAGATTGGCCGGGGCGCCACGAGGCAAGTGTTTGTAAGACATGTTAGGTTGTTTAGTATAGTATTTCATAGACAGTGTAAGCTCCCCAGGGCATTGCAAAGACCTTACTGATGGGTGACAAGGTAATTGTGTATTCCCTTTTTGGGCAGTCACTGGGGCCACTCCCATTTATGTATGTAATCCTTAGCCTTTCCTCAGTTAATACATGTCACTCCACTCTCCCAAGGAGAGCATAGCTCAGTATTTGTTCATCATTGCTGGTTCTGTGTATGTGAACATCTGTCTCTCTCCTTGACTCTTCTTCCACTCATTATCATGGTAAAATGTATTATGTTCAAAGACTTTATCATACCTATTTGATCAGTGAATATGGTGACAAGCTTCCTGCCTCTGTCAATCTTCCCTTTACTCCTTCTCTCTTTCCACCAAGAATAATACTAAATATAAAAACATGTCAGTGGTCCACAAAATGAAAGCAGTTAACAAAGCAGTTGTTTAGCTCACATGTTATGGTTTCACCTTCTGGTGAATTGGAGCAAGACAAAACAGAATAGGGACTGAACTTCATTCATTGATTGTCAGTCAAGAGGGTATTGACCTGAAAGTTTCCGTTGATATGCTGGGGGGAAATGGAAACAAAAGTAGAATTAAAGCTGGATTCAAGACAGGAATGGATTCCCACCCTAAGGTTGCATTTGCATAATTAAAATTAGAATTTTCTTTTACCTTTGTGTCTGTGCTTTGTGTCTGCCTCACAAGTTGGCATGAGAGGAGTTTTTCCAATTAAACCCTCCTGATAGGTTTCCTTTTCCTGTTTTGTGACAATTCTGGGGCAGACTTCTGTTTGTGAAAATGGTGGGGTGGGGAGATGAAAGGACATTTGGAGGTCAAACTCTAAAAAACACTTGCCTCGTGCAGCTCCAACCTAAGCCACTTGTCCCATGTAGCTATGTTCCTGGTGTTTCTTTAGGTTGTGACATCACAAACTCTAAGGTTTCACTGATAGACTTGTCTCTCCTACTCTGGAAAGTCTTAGAGCCAACAACTGTGCTTCTTCTTCCTGATATGATGCAAACAGTCTTCCAGAAGTTGAGAACAAGTCTGAGAAGTGACTTAAGATCAAAAGGTTATCACCTTTGTTTTCAAGGCTATATAGTCCCTTGTAAAGAAAAGCTTAGAGGATAATTCTTAATAGTGATAGAATCATAGCATCTTAGAATTGGAGTGGACCTTAGAAGTCATCTAGACTAATCTTCTTCCCATCTGTCAGATACGCAGTAGATGATAGCCCTATCTGTGCTTGAACATTTCCAGTGATGAGGAAGGAGCTCACCTCTAACAAAACAACCCTTTCGATTGCTGTATAGCTATAAATAATTGCCAGTATTTTCTTATAAGAGGCGTGACTCTTCCTCTTAGTAAATAATAATGACATTAATAATTTACATGTGCATTATGCTTTGACATTTACAAATGCTCCCACATTCATTATCTCATTTAGTCCCCATGAGTGCTTACTTAGCCTTATGAAATGAGTGATATTAACTCTGTTTTATAGATGAAGACACAGAGGCTCAAGTTAAGTGAGTTTCCCAAGGTCACAGAGCTATAAAATGATGAAATTAAGATTAGAAGCCTGTCAGACTTCAAACTTAATGCTCCTTGAATTAAACCATAGCTACCCATGTACTAGTTCTGGCCTTTTTGTGTCTCCCTAAGAAACCTAATCCATCTTTCACATAGTAGTTCTTCAGATAATTTTAGGTAGCTCATATGACTTTTCTAAAGTTTCTCTTTTCCAGGCTAGACATCCTCAATTCTTTCAATTGCTCCCCATATGACATGGTTTTAAGATCTTTTACCATCCTGGTATCCTTTTTATGGGCACACTCGAAGTGCTTTATAAAATGTACTGTCAAAAAAGTAAATACATTACTCAAAAAGTGGACTGACCACTGCAAAGGATAGCTGGATTATTTATTTATCTTGTACATTAGCTGATGCCCTCTCACCCTGTACCTTTTTTTTCAGCAGTCACAGTGACTTCTGACTGTTTACCTAGCATATAATCAACTGCATTTTCTGTGAATTCCAAATCCTGTTCCTTTATGATTGTCTAAACTGAAACACAATACTTTGAATGACTTTGACTCCTCATTCCAGCATGCCAAAACCCTTTGGGATCCGGATTCTACCTTCCAATACATTTGGTTTCCCTTGGAGCCTGCCTTCTATGTCTTCTTTCAGTCATTGATAGAAAAGTTCAATAGGACAGGGATAAGGACAGAGCCCTAAAGCAAAATTTTGGATGGTTATGGAAAACTATTTGACTAGGAATAATATTTATGAAGACTCAAGGTCCCAGTTTTACCAACCACTCTGGCCTGCTACTGTTGACTTAACCACAGTTCCGAGAGCTACTTTCCCTTCAGGTTTTTTCCCATTTTCTTTATCCACAAATGTCATCCTTGTCTGTTGAGATTAAGTCTGGGCGAGTAGTCTTCCCCCTGTATTTATCAACTTTCTTCCTTCATTTTTAACTTTCTTTCACCTCTTTTAATATTGAAATGATTACAACCAATAATGTTTCAGATGATGCTGTTAGCTGAATGAGGAATTCTAATAGATGGGGTATTTATCTTCTGATTACTGTATTAACTTAATTCTGTTGGAATTTTGTGTGTCACATTACAAAAACATTGGCCATAACTTCTGTCTGGCCAGGCAGTCTATGACATACTGCCACAAAGATATAACTTCTTTAATTTCTCCTCCTTTTCATTCTCTCGTAAATTCTCTCCACCACACATTTATACTCAGATTCTTGGATTTCCGTATTGTGATCTTTCCCTTCTGAACAAGAGGTATACTTCCATTATCATAATTCAATCATAAGTCCTATCTTAGCAAGTCTCAGTGACACCCAGAGAATCATATATTTACCTTTTTAAATTTAGAAGTAATTTCAAAATTACATAAGAGCTGCAAGACTAGCACAAAGAACACCCCTATACTCTTTGCCCAGATTTACCTATTGTTAATATTTTATCCCATTTCATTTATCATTTGCTAACATTCTCTGTCTCTGTTTTTAGAGGGAACCATTTGACAGTAAATTGTATACATCACGGCCTTTTTACCTCTGAATTCTTCAGTGTATGTCTCCTAAGAATAAGGAAATTATCTTACATAACCACAGTACAGTTATCAACTTTAATTGATTCAATACTTTTATCTAAACCACCATTCACATTCCAATTTTTGACAACTGACCCAATAACATTCTTTGTAACATATGAAGAACCCAATATTATCCTTTATGGTCTAGGTAGACCTAGGTATTACATTTAATTGTCATATCTCTTTAGCCTCCTTTAATCTGAAAACTTCCTCAGCCCTTCTTTGTCCTTAATGGCATTGACATTTTTTAAAGTACACTTTTTTTTTTTTTTTTTTTTGAGACAGAGTCTCGCTTTGTTGTCCAGGCTAGAGTGAGTGCCGTGGCGTCAGCCTAGCTCACAGCAACCTCAAACTCCTGGGCTCAAGCAATCCTTCTGCCTCAGCCTCCCGAGTAGCTGGGACTACAGGCATGAGCCACCATGCCCGGCTAATTTTTTAATATATATATATATATCAGTTGGCCAATTAGTTTCTTTCTATTTATAGTAGAGACGGGGTCTCGCTCTTGCTCAGGCTGGTTTTGAACTCCTGACCTTGAGCAATCCGCCCGCCTCGGCCTCCCAAGAGCTAGGATTACAGGCGTGAGCCACCGCGCCCGGCCTAAAGTACACTTTTTTATTATACTTTATTATATTCTTCCTTATTTTGGGTTTGTCTGATGTTTCCTCATCATTATATTCAGTACAATCCTTTCTTGGGGTATTATATCTGGAGGCATATGATGTCCACTTGCCCTTCATTGGTGATACTAATTTTGATTACCTAGTTAAGATGTGGTCTGATTTCTTCACTACATAGTTACTGCCTTTTCTTTTGACTAATAAGCAATCAGTGTGGTGATACTTTAAGACCAGGAAAATATCCTGCTTCCTCATCAAACCCATCTCACCTCCCTCACCCCTATTTTAGCATCAGTTGATGATTCTTGCCTGATTCAGTCTTTACCATGGTGATTGCAAAATGATGATTTTCCAGCTGGGTGCTCTCTCCCACATTTATGAGTTGGCACTTGGCATTCTACTATAAGCAAGAGCCCCGTTCCCCATTTCCCTCATTTGTTTATTTATTTATAAGTATGGACTGATGCATTCTCTTTTAATTTTTTACTGCCCTTACTTGTTTTGGTGCTCAAATCATCCAGATTTAGCCAGTGTGAGCCTTTCAAGGTCACTTCTGGGTCTTTATGATATTCTTTTATCATTTTTTTAAGCACTTCCTTACTTTTTGGCATAACAAAATGTTCTTGGCTCATTTTGACACTATCCTGTCCCAGCCTTGAAATCAGCCATTTTTCCAAGGAGCCCTGGTTCCTTTTAGTGGGAGAATAAACATCCACATGTATACATATGCACACATAGAATATACAAGCATACATACTTTACATATGTGCACATACACAAACATTTGCATGTTTTAGGACTCATAAGTTCACATCAGTACCTCCAATTCCAATCCATTCCCACAGGTTCTTTCTTGCCTTCCCCCATTCTATATTTGTATGTTCCTTCTTCCACAGTATGAACCCTGGCTCCCAAAAGTCTCAACACATGTACTTATTTGCTCAATCCTGTAATATATCTATTACAAAGTATAATGTGTCAGAATTGCTTTGCCCATACCACTACAACAACAAACCTGCTAATAATACTTTAGGATTTGTTTGCAGTTCTTCCCTCATCCCCAGTGCTTTGGTGTGGTTATGTTATTAATTTGAAGTGCAATTTGGCTCATTTGTTCTGTTTGCCTTCAATTTAAGTCCCTACCTTTCCATCCTTATGTATTTAATTTTATTTTTTTTGAATTTATAAAACATGCTCCCCAAAAGGAAAACTATACAAAAAGTATACTCAGAGAAGTGTCATTCCCTCCCATTTCCTTTTAATCCTGTTTCCCCAACCCTGTGCATTGTAGTTAGCCAACTTCATTTTCTGGTTTGTCCTTCCTGTTGTTGTTGTTGTTTCTTTATAAATCCAAACAAATATATGTATGTTTTCTTATTTGCCTTTCTTTCTCTCAATAAAAGTAGCATACTATATATGCTCTTTTGCAATTTACTATTTTCAATTGAAAATATTTCCTGGAAATCACTCTACATTAGTTCATAGCGATCTTCCTCATTCTTTTTTCATAGCTGCATGGTACTTCATTGTGAAGTTTGTTAGAAGTGTATCTGGAAGAGCATATACTTTCCTCTTTGTATTAAAATTTCATGTGCAGTTTATGACTCATACAATGCATTGGTACATAGATAGGCAAGGCCTCAAATATTGATCCTGGCCCTCCTTTATTGTCTTTTCATAAGAAACACTGGCCATCTCCACCAGTTCTTCCTCTTCTTTCTATACCATATCTGTCCTCCATTATGTTTCTTTTTCTAGTTATAATTTAGGATTTTAAACCTCCTCCCAAATTAATTATAAAACCATTTTGGTCAGATCTCTTGTAAAACAGTCATGACTTATTATTTTCAATTTTTAACCTCACTAAATCCTTTACTACAGCTGCATAGAAGTGACTAATTTCACTGCTCATTTTCCTTGCGTTTTCCTTTCCACCCTTTAGTGGAACTGTGGCTAAAAAGTGGCAAACTGACTATAAAGCAGATAATAGAGGAGAGAAGTCTAGATAACCCACAGAGTAGAATGCTGGTCCCTCTTTTACTGAAAGCTAGCTAAATACATGTTTTTAATTATGTACATTTCTCCTGTTTTAGTCAATGTTTAGGCAACAATGTGTTATTGGATCACTCAATCCCAAATGAATATGGGAATTAAAGCCAGGAAGGGGTAAAAATGTGTAGTGTCAGAGTGAGGAGATGGTATCTTGTTTTGGTTATCATGTCCATCTCCTTGGCTTCCCTATGAGACCTTAGAGCCCAGCTAGTTTGGAAAGTAAGGGTGAGGATGAGGTGGGAGAGTATAATTATAAGCCCTGGAAGCCTCACTACTTTGCAGAGGTAAAGAAACACTGTCATTTACCCCATGAATTGTGGGCTAAGATTTTTAAAATACCAGGGTTGTGCTCTTAGCACCATCACCAATTATCTGTGGCCTTGGGCAAGTCACTTTTCTTCTCTCAATCCGAGTTTCCTATTTGTAAAATGAAGGAAACATGCTGTCTAGGTGTTCTTTCAGCTCTTGGGTTTCCATGTTTCTATGCTCTGCACAGGACTGCTCCATCCATACAAGACCAGACTCAGCTCTCAGAAAAGTGGACATTTGGGGTAAAGATCCAGAGACTCCATAAGAGTGATGATTCTGTGGCTTTGTATAGGGGCCATTCCTGTTATTTAGTAGAAAATTAAAGTAATCTAACTTTTGCTAGCAGTTGTGCTCAATTGCCAGAAGCAAGGAGCCTGGCATAAATCTAGCTCTGTGGGAGAAAAGAAATAGTGGAATCATAAGCTCTGGTTCATCTCATTATGTGTTCTGAGACTCAAAACAAGACAAAATGAATTCACTTCTTTTGGGGGGGAGGGGTTATGATGAATTTTCAATGTGTTTTTCACCCTATCTCTCCTACCTGCTAGTTAATTAATGTCCTTGTCTTTTCCCACTTCATAGGCCTGTATAATTCAGTGGATAGTTGGATGATTGTGCCCAACATTAAACAGAACCATTACACGGTGCATGGACTCCAGAGCGGGACACGCTACATCTTCATTGTTAAAGCCATAAACCAAGCAGGCAGCCGGAACAGTGAACCTACCAGACTAAAAACAAACAGTACGTTGTGATAATTTTGAAAGGGAAGATCAGTTTTTGTCTCCATGTCAGGGAGTACATTTAGACTAATCAGGCACCATTGCAGTGCATGAGAGCAATGGCACTAGGTAGGGGAGGTTTGCTATTGTTTTTGTTCTTTGGGCAAGGGGTTTGTTGGTGCCCATGGGAGATTTGTGGGCACAGAGACATAAAATAGCTGGCAGCTTGGGAAGATATTAGTGAAGAGTTTTTCTCTGCACTCTACTCCCTCGCTGCATATTTGGGACACAATTGAGTAAATGAGCATTATTTGTGATGATCTATTAGAATCCTCCTGCAGAGAAACCATTCTGTTAGGAATGCTTTTGACTTAAAATAACAGAAAGCACAACTAACTTAGCTTAACAGATAGCATTTGTTAGTAGCTTAAATGAATAGTATATTTTTTTTCTCTCTGTTATATAGCAAGAAGTTTGAAGGTAGGCAGTTCAAGGCTGGTGCAGCCGCTCTGTGATGTCATAAAGGACGCAGGCTCCTTCTCTCTTTGTGTATTGGCTTATGCCACATGGCTGCAAAATGGCTGCTGTAACCTTCAGATGTCATCTTTCCTCTCAAAATAGGAAGAAGGAGGAAAGAGTGGGTACACGTGATGGCTATCCTTTTTATCAGAGAAACAGAAACTTTCCCAGAAGTTTCCTTCACTCTGTCTGACTTCTGCTTCTATCTTATTAGCCACCCCTAGCAGCAAGGGAGGCTGGGAAATTGAATATTTAGCTTTTTCAGCCTCTATAGTGAAAGTGGGTAACAGAAAAAGTTGGAAATGCATGTTGTGTTAGCCAACAGTGTTTGTCACAGAAGTATTTTGTATAATAAAGCTCCTCCCATACCCAGTAATTGGTCCCCTGGCAATAATGCTTTTGCCCTACAGTGATAAGGAATTCTCTGTTGTGAATGGTTGTACACAGAAAATGGTTGTACACAGATCAATGCTGATCATTGATCAAGCAACAGTCATTCTAATAAAGTTGTCCAATTATATTTTGCTTATATCCCTATTGTAAGAGGGCAAAAACTGTCCTGTTGCTGAGTTCTCAGAGTTTTCTTTTTTTCTTTGCTCTGGCATCAAGCACCAATACCTTATCAGTCCCCCTTGCCTCAAATATTGTGACACTTCTTCCTTTAAAATCTATCCAAATCCCAAACCACCCACTGAAATAAAGCAAAGCTTATTTTTAATTTGATAATATATGATGAGGGGACAGCTTGTTAGCTCCTATATGCTTAGAATATGACTTCCAACAAAATACTCTTGGGAGAGATCCCCATTTTTTTTTCCTACAGTGGTAAAATAAATGCCTTCATGAAAGTCGTTTTATGGGAAATTGACCTTTATTCTTATTTTATTGAAAACTCTGGCTTCTGGCCTGCTTTCTTAATATAATCTAAATAGCAGCCAACTTGCACTGACCCAAGAATCATCATCATATTGAGATTTCCCTTTGTTCAGCATTCACAGTCTGGTTGCCCTGGTAGTGGTGGTCCTGGAGGACAAAGGTAAAAATTTTAAATATTTTATTATGATTTTTCTCTTTTCTACTTTTTTTCAGGCCAGCCCTTTAAATTGGATCCCAAAATGACTCATAGGAAGTTGAAGATCTCCAATGATGGATTGCAGATGGAGAAGGATGAAAGCTCTCTGAAAAAAAGCCATACCCCAGAGAGGTTCAGTGGCACAGGGTGCTATGGGGCAGCAGGAAATATATTCATTGACAGTGGCTGCCACTACTGGGAGGTAGTCATGGGTTCCTCAACATGGTGAGTGGATCCCATTTTTCTTTTCTCTCACCTGTCATTAGATTCCTGGGAGATTTAATTCCATAGCACAGCCATAATACCAGTAATTCAAAGTTAAAAGGTATGTGATGAAAACCACTCCTAGAAAAATTTGCCAGCTTTTTAATAAAGTCATGGAAAATATACTGGCCTAGGAGTTGGAAATTACTACATTACTCTAATTGCTAGCTTTTTAAAGCTCTAGTGATACCAGCATTATCCATCTAAATGTAAACTTTTAAGGAAGAAACATGTATTCTGTTTCTTATATATCCTATATGGTGTCTAGCACAACTCAGATCATTCGTAAATGTTTATTTCTCTCTCATTTCCACTGTCTCCCAGGTATGCAATTGGTGTTGCCTACAAATCAGCTCCAAAGAATGAATGGATTGGCAAGAATGCCTCCTCATGGGTCTTCTCTCGCTGCAATAGTAACTTCGTGGTGAGACATAACAGCAAGGAAATGCTGGTGGATGTGCCTCCACAGTTGAAGCGTCTGGGTGTCCTCCTGGATTATGACAACAACATGCTGTCTTTCTATGACCCAGCTAACTCTCTCCATCTTCATACTTTTGATGTGACCTTCATTCTTCCAGTTTGTCCAACATTCACAATCTGGAACAAATCCCTAATGATCCTGTCTGGCTTACCTGCCCCAGATTTTATTGATTACCCTGAGCGGCAGGAATGCAACTGCAGGCCTCACGAATCCCCCTATGTTTCTGGGATGAAAGCTTGTCATTAAGTTTTAAGAGCGCATATAATTCACTAGCTCTCCCATTCAGCAGTTCTTCCCCTCCTAAACCTAAGTTAGTGTTCAATATATGAAATACAAAATAAAATCCATTTGAAGCATCCAAAATAACTAGATATTGTAGATTTAATTTTTGTGCATTAAAGCTTGTATCTGGATTAATGAATTGAGTTTTTCTCAGAACAAATTATCTGAATAGTCTGGGTTCAAGCCATTGGAGAAAAATTTAGAGAATGCATTTGTTGTCATTAGATAATTAAAAATTCCCAAATGATTTAGGAGTATAAATGATATTGGAAGCAATTAGCATAATTCTAGGTTAAAAAAAAATGTAGAAAGATGCTCTGAACAAGGGGCTAGCCAGCCAGAAGGGGGTGGTAGTGGTCAGCCTTTCTAGTACTGGCCAGTTTAGCCAAATAGAATTTTGAACTGTGTCAAATTGTCACATATTGTGTGTCACTTTTGATAAAAACCTACAATAAAGGGTTTATTATATGTAAACCATGAATATGTATATATAATAAATAAAATGAATGCTACATTCATGTGATGTAGGATTCATTTTATGTATTATATATACGCAGTAAACGTTTTAATTTGCTCATTTTGAGTGAGAAATATTACTAGAAGGGAAAATAAATTACACCGTCCATTTTTGTCCTCTAAAGGAAACATCAAAATCAATCAGCATTTCTCTTCTCCCTCCTTCCATTCCTCCCTTCCTCCCTCCTGTCACACACATACACATACAGTCATGAATGACATACAGAGTGGGAAGAGTTCTAGGTTGGGTTAGGAGAAATTTGGGATAAGATTGCACAAGGGAGACAATTTCTAGATAGAAAATTGGTCCAGGTAGAAGTGTCCTATGGAGCACAATTTCGTTGATGCTTCCTAATAGAGGAGGTCCATCTGAATTGTTAAAAATTCTGTCACAGAATATTTCAAAGAAATACAGTTTTATTACTGTCAAGTACATACAGTTGCTTTTAAAAGCATAATGGAAGTTCTTTAGGAACTTGCTTAATCGGTAAAAATGGAGTGTTAGACATGCAACGACTATTTGCATATAAATGTACTTGTATTTTCAGATAAAACACTTCTGAAGTGCTTAAGAATGCCTGAAAACAGTTTGTTTTCTTAAATAGGTTAAATAATCATTCCTCTTGCAATCTTGTTTACACTATTCATTTGCTTAGCCAACTCTTCCTGGCAAATGCAGACATAAAATTCATCCTAGTCCTCATCAGTATATCTGAAGGGAGTGGAGCTTTATGGTCTGTGATTTTGTTAGTTCCGTTGCAGGGATTGGGGATTTCAGAAAACCAGAGCTTTTCTCCTTTCCAGGAGCTAAGTCTGTATCAAGGAGTGTACTTGAGAGTTGTGAAAATATTACTATTGTACAATTACAGAGTGGTAGCTGCAGTAATTCCCCCAGATTGGAGCCTGGAAACAATGTCAAAATTTCTTCCTTCTTCCTTTCCACCAGCTTGGTGGATGTTCATTTATTAATTCATTCAATAAACTATTAGATGCCAGGTACCACACAACTGCTGTGGGAGTGCACATGTTAATAAAACATAGTACCTGCTGTCAAATGGCTTCCTATTCTGTAGAAGAGACAAAGTATCTATATTAATCCCTGCCATAACAGTTATGTATTGTTTCTAAACCTAACAGGGAAAGAAAGACCAATGCAGATACAGAAGGAAGGCTCAAACCTACATATCTAGTGCCAAAGTCAGCTTTTTGTTTTAAAGACCATTATGTCCTTATTGCTAATCAGGACATAAGAAACCTCAATAAGATTCATCAGTGCTGTAATGGAAACCTCATAACCTTTTGATTAAAATGATCCTAGTTTCTCTGCCATTTATTAGTGGTATGATTTAGGGCAAGTACTTCATTCTCTGAGCCTCTGATTTCTTTTCTGTAAAATAATGTCTACTTCACAAGGCTGTTTCAAAGATTTAAAAAGATAGCATGTGTAAACTGTCTAGGTCAGTGCCTGGCATTTACTAAGTGTGCCATAAGTATTAATCTCTTCCCCTATCCCCAGCTCCAATGCTGTGTAGCAGTGCTTTAAAATGTGTGCCCTTCATTTTTTAGTTACCCTGGTCTTTCTCCTAGGGCCTAACACCAAATTCTTAAACATAAATAAATGATTTTCCCATTTTATAAAGCCTTTCATTGGCTCCTTAGCATTCATTAGAAGGTCCCCACTCCTTAGAGTTTGACTTTTCATGTCCCTGTTTGTTTTCCCAGCTTCACCTTTGCTACTTTCCCCCACATGCTGGTTACTCTAGCCAAGTTGTTCTCTGTGCTTGAAGCAGAGACATTATTAACAATTTTAATGCCCAGAATAAACAATAGGAATTTTCCTTAAATTAAGGGAATAGTGTGAAAATGCTGTAAGTATAGAACACTCCACCTCCACCCCAGTCTAATTTCCTTTGCCTTGTCCTTGCCTCTCCAAAGCCATTCATTTACTTTTGTGTCCTTTAGATTTTAGTACTCTGGAACAAAGCTCTAATTTCCCTACCCTACTTTTGCCTGGCCTACCTTTCCCCACCCTTACCCCTCTCAACCAGACTAAGTCCTTGACTCCCTAAACTGGGTTATGTTCCTCTCTTTGGAGCTCCAATGACACCCTGTGCATCCTTCTCTCAGCAATAATCACATTGTATAGCAATGTATTTCAAAGTGTTTTTCAGACCACCTACGTTAGACTCATCTTTAAAACAATTGATTCTGGGATTGTACTCCTGATTAATTAGAATATCTGGAAACATAGGTAGAAATATACATTTTGACAAGCTCCTTGTCTGATTCTGATGCACACAAAAGTTTAATGTGTGATAATCATCTTCCCTACTAGACTGTGAATATCTTGAGAGCAAGGACTGTATCTTTTTTTATTGTTGTATTTTAATACCTGGCACAGTGTCTACAATTGAGTAGCTATCTGGCTAATGTTTATTGAATGAATGTATGAGTGAACAAATGAATTAACAAAGTTTCCCTCTTGTACTCTGATATCCATAGTAATGTTTGTTAGTTCCTGGACAGAAAAGCTTGGTTACTACTCCATTTGGGCTGTATCGATACTATTTTTACAGATGTACCAGGGCTCATACATATAAATGAGCATTGTCCTTCTTAAAAATTTTGGCAGTTATCTTAAAGAATTGTCTTTGGAGCATGTGGCACCATTCTTTTCAATATCATTTCAATCTTTTCAAACTTTGTTCCTTGAAGGTGGATTTAAGTTTTGGTTATAGCCAGGAATTATAGCTAGGCCTTGAATAAAATAGGAAATTAAACTGAGTTTGGGATAAGCAATGAAGTTAAAGTCCCAACTTCTGAACCAAATAATGAAAAGTGATTTCTAAGATATAACATGGTAGCAGAGTACTCAATGGGGTATGATGAGTCCCAGATATTTACTTCAATTAACTTAAGACTTTCATAGAATCCTGGCAATGCCAGGAACCTTAGGAGAAGTCACTGGCTACCACTAGCTAAACCCAGTTGGACAAAGGGAATATGACCTATATTTAACATCTTCAAGGAAGATAACTCCATAAGCTTTTGTTGTTACTGCTTTACTCTATTTTCCACAACCCTTTCTATCAGAAAATTATTTTATGTCTGCAATTTATGCTTGTTTCTGCTTTTTATATTGTCTTATTGAAGAAAGCACAATAATAATCAAAATAAAGTTAAAGCTGTTTTGAGAATATGAAAGAAATTTTAATGCCACATTGAGGTTCTGGCTATTTGTAAGTAAGTAACTGCATCTGAATGTGTTTTTATTATGTAATTCCATTGTGTATCTTTGGATGCGGTAAAATTCAGATTGCAACAAAATCACTTATATGTTCTTTCTGGCTAAAACACGCTAGGTGAATTTTCTAAGCTTCCTTGGTTTACGTATTTATATATGACTACCTGGATGGAGCAATCCATGGATGGACTTTTGAATAAGCTCAAATATTTGATAACCCTTTCCTCCAAAGAATGGAGAATGTGAGGCAGGTAGATAAGAACCGATCCTACACTTATTTCTAGCTCCTGAAGCCAACTGCAGCCTCGGAGCCATTGGGCTGTATTTGGCCACTGTGTATTACAGGTTGGCCAGACTGATAGCCATCATGTCAGGCAAAACTGCCTTTTATGGTGTGGTCTGCCAGCTTCAAATATATGCTGTATTGTTGTTATTGGCTAGAATATTTATTAGACTATTGTTGGACTATTTTTTATCAAATGCTTTACCCCAGGCCTGTTTGTACTGGGAGCTCTGGACCAATAGTGTCTCTCCTAGTGACAGAACTATGAACATCTGTGGATTACACAGCCTCATCCCTCTCTAAAATATCCCAGCCCATCCAAAATGCTATATTATGAATTAAATAAATATATATGTATTCATGAGTTCTTGGTTGTCTCTCACTGGGGTTTAATTGGGGGAGGACTAAAAGGAAGATGGCCATGAGTTACTGGAATTGGGTAAGTGACTTGAGAGAAACCAATTATATAATAGAGATCTGGGCTCAGAGGGTCTGGGGGAACTGGAACTTGAGATTCAATCATGAAGACTTTGGTTTTAGGTGCAGGATACAGTAAAGAAGACTAAAGAAATGAAGATATAAGGGCCAAGGAAACGTGGCACATTTAGTTTCAGAGATTGGAGCAGAAGGTGAGAATTAAAGAACAAATTAAATCCCAGTGTTAAGATTAGGGTAGGACTAGAAACAAGTGATCTGACTTACTGTTAAACCCCTGGCCTGTAGGAGGGTTAGTCAGAACTGGAATTGGGCATATTTTAGAGTTGTGGTGGCACTGAGACTACAAGGTGAAGTGAAGCAGGGCAGTCAAGGGTAGCAGCTAGAGAAGTGATTTAAAACATTTCATTAGACCAAGGGCCTATAGGAACTCTAGCCCAAAGTCAAGAGGATTAAAATATAAAGGAGACAAAAGCTTAGAACATCAGGAATTTAGTAGTCTAATTGGAGAGCAGTCTGGGCAAATGCCAAATATGGGGTTATTACCCATAGCTAAGATTTTTTTTTTTTTTTGAGACAGAGTCTCACTCTTGCCCAGACTAGAGTGCCGTGGTGTCAGCCTAGCTCACAGCAACCTCAAACTCCTGGGCTCAAGCAATCATCCTGCCTCAGCCTCCTGAGTAGCTGGGACTACAGGCATGTGCCACCATGCCCGGCTAATTTTTTCTATATATGTATTTTTAGTTTGCCAATTGATTTCTTTCTATTTTTAGTAGAGACAGGGTCTCACTCTTGCTCAGGCTGGGTTCAAACTCCTGACCTTGAGCTACCCGCCTGTCTCTGCCTCCCACACAGCTAAGATTTTAATGAACATATATTTTTTTTGTGATGTTCGGAAAGGCTAGTTCCATTTATGTGCCAGGGCAGAGCAGATACAAGGTTCTTTATGTTCCCCTATTTAGGAACAGAATTGGTCCCAGAGTCTCAATGAAGCTGAGCCTGTAGGTGGCGGTGAGGTGGTCTCAGTTACGAAGGTTAGGAATAGGTTGTTACAAGGGTATTGAAAATGTATTTAGCGTGATAGCTAATGAAAATGGCTCTCCTTCACTGAATTTCCAGGAATGGAGAATCTAGGTGGTCTTCCTATAACTGCTGGGCACAATATACAAATTACAGTTGTGACTGGTTTGGCCTAGTCATCAGGAGCTTAAGACTACTTGTTATGTTCCTAATACTCTTCTCATTTTTGTGTGTGTGGGGGGGTATTAAGATGAAAAAAATTCCTAATATTTATAATGAGATACCCAGTTAAATGATTCTTCCCAAATAGTTATAGATCTGTGAACTGAATGAATTACTAGGGGTAGTTGAAAAAGGGAGCATTTACTGGAGTGAGAGTAGAGTGAAAGTAGAAGCTCTTACCAAGACCTAGCATGGAGACTTGTACACAGTAGATGCTTAGTGAATGCTGCTTGAATAGAATTAGAACTTGGTAAGCACAATGATAAGCAGGCCACCTTGTGCATTGTGAGGTTCGAGGTTAGGTGAACTTACCACTACTACTTGTCAAATCCCCCTCAGAAAGGTATTCCTGGTCCAGCATTCCCATGACTGCTTCTTGCATTGTTCTTTAAAGCCAGGCTCCTTCAAGGGGCACAATTAGAAGACTTAATAAATTAACCATCAATAATGGGCTAATAGAGGAGTACAGGCAAAATTCATACTTCTACCAAATCCTTCCTTTCAGATAGCAAGAAATGTTAACAAGGATCTTCTAGAGAAAATGTTTTTGTTGTCTAACCTGGGGGTGACAAAGTGGGGAGGGCAAACTTCAGACTTTCAGATTTAAAAGGGTCTGCCAACAATGCCCTGGTAGGCTTGTAGGGGACATATTTTGGGCCAAGAGGAGTCTTTCAAATAATGATATATAGATGTCAACTCTGTTTTCTATAGGGCTGACCTTGTACACAGAATGCAAAATGGATCTGCTACTACTCCACCCAGATTGAAAGTCCCAGAAAAGGAAATTTGGGCTGATTATCCCTTTGATGTGCAGTGGTAGGAAAAAGCAATTATGATCTACTTTTTTTTTTTTTTTGTCCAGCTTAACTCCCTCAGTGATAAGGGAGGGTGCTGTGATATCCCAGAAATGCAAAATTCATAGCAAGCAGCTGTCAAACACATAAGGCAAGGCCAAGTCTGAGGCCTGACTGATGCAACAAGTAAAGATACAATGAATCACCTTTAGTTTCACAGTTTAATATTCACACAGTGAAAGAAAAAGCAGTCAAAGTTTCCAGCTCCTAGTGGTCCTTGTCCTAAAGAACAAAAAGGATGGCACTGAAAGAAAAGGGGCCAGAACACTGCCATGTGAGTTGTGGGGTATGTAATTGCTAAGAAGCCAATTCTAGACAGCAGCTAACTAGCTTTATAGTCTGTAGTTCTATTCTGAGGGAAGTGGGTCAGCAAGCCTTGTACCTTATCAGAACTGGGGAGGTGGGAGGCTATGAAAAACTGTCTCATGACAGCTTTCTAGGAGAGATAAGGAGGCAAGTAGGAGATGACCTTGAAGCAGCTCCTCTCAGGCATCCTATTCTCTTGTGCTCTGGAAGGATCACAGGCACTCTGACAAGACTCAGATTAGCTGTGGTTCAAGCTTTTGCCTAAGGGACCATTGTGGATATTGCCAGGTTGCTAGGGTGCCAGAGGGGAGCCATTCTCCAACAGAGGCTAGTTGAAGGTCCAGGTAACTTCCCCAGGGGGAAGCAAAAGGAAGTAAAGTCAGGGTCTGTTGAGGAACCTCCTCTCTCCCTCCTCTCTGCTGAGCTTTCATTCATATCCTTTTGTTCTAAGGCTCTTTGGGGTTGGAGGTGGGGATGGAGCAGGAATTAAGGGAATAATTAGGACATACAATAAATTCAGGCCCCAAAAGATTCAGTACCAAGGCCAGAGAACCAAGGTCCAAATCCTTTGCTATCTCAGGGTCTTTTTCACTAAAGTGTACGAGTAATTTCTAAGGTCCCTTCTAGCCCTAACAGTATGGATTTCCATAAATGCAGATTTAGTGACTGTAGTGAGAGAAGCCTAATCTGTATACCTACCCCAAGAATGTTGGGACATCTGGCAGGTAGATCATTAGGAATCTTATGACTGGGACAGAAAAGTGGGTGACATTACTGTTACTTTAGGATCATCATCTGATTTCTTTTAGGACGACTATCCTCTCCCATACATACTTCACTTGGACATCTCCTGCCAATCTCCCCCACTTATATTTGCCACTATAACTTCTGAACTTTCCACTTCAGCTCTCTCTTCCCAGCCTTCTTTACTCACCAACTGTACAAAATGCAAATACTGCTCTAGCTAGCCATGCCTGAGTTTCAAATTTCAGGTCAGCTGTCTGACAGTCTTCCATGTGTCCATGTAAATAATTGCCAAAGACATTCCATTTTCTAAGGGCACAGGAGGTCACTTGATACAGCAACCGAAAAGGGTTCTGTGTGTCACCTTCCACAATCAAGGACTTTCCGCCCCAAACTCTCACAAATACATTCCTTATGGGGCAGAGGAGAGAGTCTTGGTATAGCCCCCATTCCAAGTTATTCAATCATTCATTTACTCATTCATTCGACAGATAATTTATTGATAGTTTCCTTGTGTCAGGTGCTGAAGTTCAGTGATGAATAAGAAACACAGTCCTTGCCCCCATGAGACTCATAATCTGGAGGAGTAACAGACGATCAACGAATGAACACTTTTCTAATCATAGGAGCTATCACTGATTGATTGCTTACACTATGCTCAGCAATTGGGATACAGTAACTCATTTAGTCCTCCCAGCAACCTATAAGGTAAAGACGATTATTAGTTCCCTAGAACATGAAGAGTTAATCCCTGCATCCATGCCCAAACCAGCAGATTCCTAGATACCTGGTGAGCTGCTAGCAAGGATTTTAGCCATGGCTCCCTTTGGCGCAAGGTGAACAAGTTTAAGGCCCAGCGCTGAGGAAATGACCTAGTCCAGCGGCTTCTGAAATCAGGGTTAACCAAGAAGGACTTCCAGGTCTTCGCTAGACACCCTCAAAACTGCCCCCGACACGGTTTTCACATGCCTTTTTTTAACTCCCCTTTCCCTCCTGTCCCCCATCCCCTCCCCGCCCCGTTTCTAGCCCAGCCCCTCCCTCTGGGCCGCCTCCTCTCTGAGTCATTTCCCCTTCCCCGCCCCAAAGACCTTGGCTCTCTCTCGGAATCCCTACCCCGCTGGCAGGAAGTAGAGGAAGGGCAAACTGGCTTTGGGAACCAGGTGAGCGCTTTCCCCAGCGACGATGAGAAACGCCTCCCCGCTCCCCGCCCGCACCCCACGCCCCGGATTCAGAGGGACGAGAAATTGAGGGAGTTCCCTAAGGCCGAGCTCTTGGCGTCCCTGTCGCCTTCAGGCCCTGGTGGCCGAGAGTGAGAGGTGCCACACCCCGCCCAGTGTCTCCTGGGATGTAAGGAGGGAAGCGGCGGCCCAGTCAGATGAGTGTGTGGGGCTGCCGCGGGCTCAGGCGGGTTGAGCTCGGCGCGCTGGGGAGGGACCTCGTGCTGTGAAGCCGGGGGACGTGGGAGGGCCGGCCCCCCAAATCAGCCATTGAGCGGGGAGAGGGGAAAAAGCTCCTGAGGATGCGTGTGGAAGGTGCGTGCAAGTGCAAGAGGGCTGGTACATGCAGTGAGGGGGATGCGCGTGTACGAAAGAGTGTAGAGAGGGGCATATGTGGACAGACGCATGTGTGCAGGAATGTGCGTGTGTGGCTGTGTGTGGGGGAAATGCATGTGGTGACTTACACAGGTGCGGACGTGGGAGTGTACGTACGGGTGGTGACGAAAGCAGCCCGTGTGGGATGTGCGTGTGGGAGTGTGCGAGTGGGGATTTATATGCGTGTGCGT